CATGCAAACACATAAGCCGTGTATGTACAGGCATGTGGGTGCATAACCGTGGGATTGTATGCATATTGGGGTTTGGGGTTTAGGGTTTAGGGTTTAGGGGTTTAGGGTTTAGGGTTTAGGGGTTTAGGGTTTAGGGGTTTAGGGTTTAGGGTTCCCCACAAGGCTCTGTGCAGCCCCTGCTCGAGTGGCTGGAGCAGAACCGCGAGGAGAACCCCTGCGAGTGTGGCCTGGCAATGAAGGAGACGGAAGCTGCGGAGAATCTGAAAGTTTGGGTGTTTTTTTGTTTTTAATACGTCGGGCTTAAGGGTTTAGGGTGTAAGGTTTAGGGGTCTAGGGTGTGGGTTTTTTTATGAGAACCAGCCAAAGCAATGGTCTTGTATAGAAGCAAGACACAACAAGCTTCGGAGCATCTGAAAGTGAAAGTTTAGCGACCAGTGCCCAGGGTTTAGCGTAGCGGTTAAAGGTTTAGGGGGTTTAGGGTTTAGGGGGTTACAGTTTAGGGTGCAGGGTCTAAGCATTTTACAGTTCATGGTTAGGGAGTTTAGGGTCCAGGGTCTTAGGGTTTTGGTGTTACGTTTTGGAATCGCTGCCCAGTTCTACCTGGAGCTGCTGTCTTTCCTATACCTCCTGGTCTATCTGAAGGGGCTCTGTCAGCAGCTGCCGCAGTTGCTCCTCTCCGACCTAGTTTGGCACCGCATCTTCGTCCTCGTGGCACACCTGACCATCCACCTGCACCATGTTCGATTACAGACAACACAATGGGTGAGGGGGAGGAGAGCGAGGGTGAACATGATGATGCTGGTGCTGGTGATGGGACGATCCTGAATGTGATGAACATGCTAGAACCATGAAAGAAGACGTGGCTTGCTTGTTCGCTGGTGGTCTTGGGTCGAAGTGCGTCTGTGGCAACAAGCTCTTGCAGAACACGTCCCAATGGCGGGAAAAAACACAGGCTCTCGGCAAAAAGAAAATGAAGAAACACTCTCTGAAAGTGGAAGCAGCCGGTCTTGGTGTGAGGACGAGTCTTTCGTGCCGGAGCCCGTCTAGCCCACTTTCGTGAAGAAGCCGAAGATGCTCGTGGACCAGCACATGAATGCGGCCTGGGCTCTCATTCGCGAGCACTTCCAGCAGAAAGGACTCCTCTCTTCCGTTTTCTTAAGGACTCTGTCATTGCATAGATGAATCGTAATGATTGTCTCTGCCATGAGAGTGCCTCTCCGACGTCTTCTTCGTGGATGCCTTCCTGTCCGCCTTTCTCTTGGAGCACGAGAAGGCGGAGCACCTCATCGCTCACCTGCAAACACAGTGGCAGGACCATGCTCTCCTCTTTGTGCCTGTCTTCACACGTTCGCCAAATCCTTGGACCCTCATGATCCTTCAGAAGGGCTCTGAGGGTGCACCCAAGGTTCCTCAGCGCGGACTCTCTGAAGTGCCCTTGCCGCAGCGGCAGCTGAGATCAAGGCTCTCCTGGCCGAGGTGGACACAGCCTACTCTATGGCAACCCAAAGCTGTGACGACTGCGGCTTCTTCTGTCTGGCCGTGATAGTGGAGTGCCTCTCTCTCCGCCGTGGCGAACGGCCGAAGCAGAGAGGCTCTCAGCTTCGTGGTTGCCGAGCTCAAGGCCAAGCTCTCGACCTTCACCTTTCAGCTGAAGGCGGGGCACCACAAGCTCTCTGAGGAGAGAGAGGCCTTTCTCTTGGACCAGGTCGCTCAGCTCAAAAAGGCCTTTGACAAGGCCAAGCTCTTGTCGAAGCAGGCCTTTTGGCGAAAGGCGCTGAGCTGCAGAAGACCATTCTGAAATTCCTCAAGGAGGGCTCTCGATTCGGGCAACTAAGCCGAGCGCGTGAAGACTCTGGAGAATCCCCAGATGTGCTCTCGCTGCCACTGGCAGAGCGGCTGCTTTTCTTGCGATGTGTGGCAGTGCGCTCGCTATCATGTTCGAGTTCTCTGCTTCTCTCTCGGGCGGCAGCCCCTTGAGTGGGCTCGCTGGCTCTCCCTGCGGGTGTGTGAAAATCTCATCCGAAGCTCTGCAGTGCTCGTCGCAGTTTCTCTCTCTGGCATGCTGAAAGGCTCGCAGTAATTGCAGGTTCTCTCTCCCAGCAAGACTGGAGCGGTCGTAGTAATTGCACTTTCTCTCTTTCTGCAATACTGGAGCGGTCGTAGTAATTGCAGTTTCTCTCTTTTCTTGCGGCAGGAACCTCCATGAAGGATCCTTGGGTTTAGGATTTTTAGGGTGCTAAGTGCCCTAAATACTAAACGCGAAAGTTAGAGAGGTTCGCTCCCTGCCAGCTTGGCCCTCTAAAGCAGGCTAGTAACCAGGGACTGAGGGTGTAGGGTTCAGGCTACATTTCCACAACACCCAAATGATTAGGTCCTCCTAAACCCCAGGCCCCCAGACCCTCAACTCAAACCTTGGGCAATATAGGGGCCTTACCAAATAGAATAGGGTGCTGGTGCATATTATACTTTAGTTATAATAAGGAACCCCCAACAATCTCACAGTAAGAATTCAGGTCTGCCGGTGGTCCAGATGCGTTCGACGCTAGAGCACGAGTGGACCCAGAAGTGCGTGCTTTGGCAAAGTGCGGGGTGTCAGGGCATTTCTTCGGTTTTCTGGGTGGTCTTCGGCTTAGAGCCTAGTGGCTGGAGCCAGAAACTGCTCTTAGCGCCAGGCCTTTTTTTAGGGACCATACGCCCTGAGCAAGTGGCTTTGGGGTTATTTGGGAATTACCGTCTTCTCCGGCGGGTTTAGGACAGACTTCCACAGGTTGGCTTCAAGGGTGAGGATTGCTTGCAAAGGGTCAGTACGAAACCCCGAAGCCAAGCACCTGATAGCCGAATCTGCAACATGAGCTTGTTCCGCAACCCTGGGACTTGCCGAGGGCGGGAGCAATTGACTAGACGATAAAGCAGCACTCTTCACACCTTTGCTGGAAAAGGGCGAGGATTGACTGCTGGACCCGGTGGCTTGAAAAGCGATCCGCAACATTGAAACATGAAACATGGACTAATGAGGCGAGAAGCCTGAGGTGGAAACGAAGGCGAATACAGTCATACCGCTCATGCGAGGACGCAGAATGATGGAACAACAGAACAAAAGCAACGCAAGTTACCACTAGCAGATCTCGTTGCCCGGTGAATTCAGAAACCACCCCAACCCCTAAACCCAGAACTTTGCAAAGACACAGACAACAACTCACTGGCATTGATGGCTCGTGAACTTGAGTGTATCACCCAGCCCAGTGGGCAAGACAAGTCGCGAGAAACAGGGATCAGCTAAATTTAAATGCGTTGCGGAGCATGGGCAGCAGTGGCAGTATCTAGAAGTGGTAGAAGTAGAAGATGCAGCAGCAGCACTAGCAGCAGTAGCAGCAGCAACAGCAGCAGCAGCAGCAGCAGGAGCAGCAGGAGCAGCAGGAGCAGCAGGAGCAGCAGTAGTAGTAGTAGTAGTAGTAGTAGTAGAGGTAGTAGAGGAGGAGGAGGAAGAGGAGAAGGAAGAGGAGCAGGAGGAGGAGCAGGAGAATGACGAAGAGGACGAGGAACAGCAAAAGGAAGAGGAGAAGGAAGAGGAAGAGGAGGAGGAGCAGCGGCAGCCGCGGCAGCAGCGGCAGCAGCAGCAGCAGCAGCAGCAGCAGAAGCCGTCGCAGCAGCTTGAAAACGTACCGTAGCGGTAGTGGTAGTCCGGTGCATCTTTCCGTCGTTGTTTTAGCTTGCTTGCTGTCGTCATGTCCTGGCCTTGTGTAGCTTTGCTGCTGTTGTTGTTGTCCTCGTATCACCTATGGACGCATGACCACTTACCTTTGAATTCTGTGGTGGTGTTTGTTTCTGATTCCACCCTCTTACTTGCTGGGCTTTCGCTTATGTCATGAACATTCTGTGATGTGAGGCTTGTTGTTGCAATTCTTGTGATGCTGATCATATGTTCCAGTTTACTCAGCATGTTTGTTGCTACAAATATTTGTGCTCAGATTATCAGGCTTCCTGCAAATATGTTCTTGTTTGCAACGTGGTACGAACATGAAGCCTTTATCCCCAACTGCAAATTTAATCACCAAACCCGTGCCTGAGCCCCCAAGCCTAAACCTCTTGATTGCTAGGTCCATTCTCCTCAAAATACATAGCCCCTTGGCTTGCTGGTACAGGTGGCAGCCTACGGCGCCCAAATGCCCAAAGCAGTCAGGTCCTTAGCTTTCCCGAGGCCTTAGCGGCCAACGGTTTAGGGGTGTAGGGCGTTCCTTGGCCTTACAACGTAGGACCTTTTTGGGGAGCCCACTTCTGCGTGTTGGCTGCTTGGTGCCTCAATAATACCTCCAATCCCTAGGCCTGAAACCCGCGACCCTTAAATCGAGAATCGCCCCGGTAATTCTAAGATCTAAACCCAGATGCCTTGAATCTGAACCCCTACTGTTTTGGGGTTTAGGACTTAGGGCCGTATCCTTCAACCCCAAACCACACGCAGGCCTGCTTTGGCCGTACCCACCTTTTTGTAGGGTGCCTGAACGAAGCAGAAGACATCCGCCAGCGATGGAGACGTTAGTTTCACGGACGATGGGTGAGGTTAGCTTCTTGGCTTGGGGTTTGTGGGCTTGCTCCCACAGTCTGCCAGGGCTTCATGCTTTGTGTTCCAGCTTTTCGGATGATGAAAGCTTATCGAGCTACTCACGAGATTTGTCTAACATCCGGGTTTCGCTTCCCGGTACCTGCTCTAAGCTTAGCTCGTTATGATAGTCTAAACGCTAGGCATCGGCACTATATACCTTATAATGTCATACGGACCCGAAGAGGGACCATAGTCAAGAACCACCTTCGAATGTAGCTGCACGGTTTCTACTGTTTGAGGTCCGGGGCCCTCGGTGTGGTGCGCATGATGTCGGCTGCGGTCAGGGTTCTGAAATCTAAATCTTAAACTACGAGGATGCAGGATTCAACACTCCAAGGGCTTGGGGGGGTTCAGGGTTTAGGGCTAAAGGCTTTTTGTAAATCCTAAACCCTAGACAAAAAGAGCCTAAACCTTGAGTTTAGGGTTCCCTGAACCCGAGGTCCCAACATGGGTCGGGGCTGCTGCAGGCTTTTGAAGTTTTCTGCGACGTTCTCACGAGACTGGAGCTATGCAGGTCCTTTCCTCAGTACATGGGGTTTAGGGGAGTTTAGGGTTTTGGTTTTGGGGCTTAGGGTGTTGGGTTTACTCAACCTCCCCCGCTTCCCACAGAAGAAAGCTAGAAGCACTAAAGCCTAACTCTCCCAAACCCGAAACCTCAATTCTAACCCGTAGTCTGAACCGCTAGGAACCCCGAATTTCATGCCCCAAACCGTCTAGGAATGACAAATTCCCAAGCACCAAAACCCAAAACCTAAAACCTCAAGGTATAGAACCACCTGCCCCTCGCAACAAGCCCGGCATGAACCCCAAACCCAACACCCCAAACCCACGAACTCAACTCCATTATCAATTACCATTCCCAGTACTACAGCAATTACGATTGCTATACCTATTGCTATGAAACCGCAACTTCTGGGAAGGGCCCAAGACGAAAGCAACCACCGAGAGTTTCGGACGTAGGAGCCTGATGTTCTGCTTTAGGGCTTGGGGTTCAAGGTTCACGGTTACCGAGTTTAGGGTGTAAGAGCTCAGGATTTACATGGTTCAGGCTTCTTCAGGGCAGTTGGATTTAGGCCTATGTCCAGCAGCTCAACTGACTTGACTTAACAGTTGGGCTTGCGGCGGCTGTAGGGTTTAGGACTGCGCCTTTTTCTTGGAGCTTTCAGGAGGCTATCTAAGTCTCGAGTTTACGGCTGGGAACGGACAAGACATAGGATCTGTCTGCAAGAAACAACCTAATATAGGGGCCTTAATAATCAGAACAGGGTGTTGGGGCCCACAGTTTTCTATAATTATAATGCGGAATCCTTATTTAGGCCCCTGCATTAAACACCAAACCCACCCAAACCCGAAACTCCCTAAACCGTCGAAGCCCCAGAGGCCAGAGCGACAGACGGACTGTTGCGAGTACTACTGGCAGCAGCCGACCCACCAACACTCTTGGTCCGTCTGGTCGGGGACGCGGAGGGTGATCATCTAGAGGCCTTAAACCTAGAGCAGGGTTTTGTAAGTGTTTGAGGGGTATGACAGGGGTTTTTAGAACGTTCAGTATAGGGCCTTAAGAGCCTGAATTAGAAATATGGTTTTCATGGTCATGTAATCAGATTTCGAGTTTATAAGGCCTCTAGATGGTTTGGTTAAGCCCTGGCTTGATCTCCATGCTCAGATACCATTCCGCCTCAATCTCAGCCTGCATCAACTTCCGCAGTGTTTAGGGTTTAGCGTTTCGGATTCGAGTTTCTCGCATGGGTAGTTCTCTAAAATAGGGTCCCTTGTTAGGTCCCCAACATAGTGCGGCACCCTTATGAAAAGGACCTCAAAAGGGGCCTCAATCTAGAGAACTAGGGTTTACGAAAGACAAGAGGGCAGCGATGGGGAGCAATTCGTGAGGCCGCTAAGCATGCTGAGCATGCAGACCTTGAGTTTGCGAATGTAAAGAACTTGAGAAGCCATAGTACTAGGGAGATAGGAAAGGAAGTTTGAGTAAACGTGAGAGCTTAGGAGTAAGAGCAAAGGAAGTAGTGTAAAAAGTGTAACCCTAAGCCCTGAACCCTAAACCCTTATGGTTCAAGGAATATTAGGGAATATAGCTTATATGATAGGGGCCTTAAAAGTTCAGTATGGTTTAAGGCATATTCCTTAATTAAGGGGTATATATATATATATATGTATGTATATATATATATACATACCTTAAGGTATAGGGGCCTTCATATTGGGGTTCAAGGTCTAGTCCTCAATTCAAGGGCTATTGGGATCTCTGGGTTCTTGGGATCTCTGGGTCATTTTTGGGATCTCTGGGTCCTGCCACGTGCAAAGCTGTGATATGACAGAGCACAGGATTTCCACATCTAAGCCTTAAGCCCTGAGCTCTAAATTACTAAACCCCAAACCCCAAACCCTAGAGCCCTAAACCCCAAAACTCTAAAGCTTTCAACCCTAAAACCCTAAACCCTGAACCCCAAAGCCTGCTGTTCACAGCCGAAGCCATAGGGTTTACGTCGAGCCCCACACCCTGTAGTCACAGACATCCCGCAACCCGAAGCCCTTAAACCTAAAGCCTAAGCCCAAACCCTGAACTTTGCACCAGAAGCCCAGCCACGCCCCTAAACCCACAAACCCTAAACCCCAAAGCCCCAAACCCTAAAACTCTAAAGCTTTACGCCCTAAACCCTGAACACTAAACCCTAAACCCTACAACCTTGAACTCCCACGCCCCAGCCCAGACCCGGGACGGCGCCCAGGGCTTATAGAAATCCCAGGGCGGCAAAACCTTTCACGACTCAATAAACAGGGTGTAGGGTTTAGGATTTAGGGTTTAGGGTTTAGGAATTAGGGTTCAGGGTTTGGGATTTAGGATTTAGAGTTTAGGGCATTCATCAAACCCTTTCAATCAACACGAAACCTTATGCACTTGATGAATCCCGAGTAAACCACCGTAAATCTAGGACATTCTCAGGTGGGTAGTTACCGTTATAGGAGCCTCATAGAAGATCTATATACCTTATAGAAGCCTTATAGAAGCCCTATCTTCCCTTAACTCCCTGTAGTTTCCTTTAACTAAACCCTAAATTCCTGTTCCGACTCCGGGACCTGCATCCCAGGCGGAAGAACCGCCGGTCGGCTCGCCTGCTGCGAGAGTGGGTGAGGGCCCCATCTTAATTGGACGGTTAAGGTTTAGGGGTTTAGGGTTTAGGGGTTTAGGGTTTAGGGTTTAGGGTTAGTTGGTTTTATTGATTTAGGGTTTAGGGTTAGTTGGTTTAGGGTTTCGGGAGTTACACTTTTCTTTCATTGGTTAATGCCCTGGTACTAACATTCTGCGGCAAACCTGAAAACCCAAAGCCCTAAGCCCTAAACCCTACCTCGTAAACCCCGACTAAACCCTTAACTGTCCCAAACCCTAAACCTAAATTCTACTCGCCAAAGCCCTAAAGAATTGAATAGTCTTCCTCATGTTGCCCCTATAAACCCTAAACCCCAACGCTTAGCCTGTACCGTTTAAGGGCTTAGGATTTTCAGACAGTCGGGCTTTTAGGGTGTACGTCTTTAGGGCTAATGTTGGGGCATAGCTGAAAAAAGGCGTGAACTCTGAAGCCCCAAGAAGTTTAAGGTGGGGGCCCTGCAACATCGAACTCACCTCCTAAACTGTCAGTCTTTGGCCTCATGCCTAGACCCGGGGTTTGGGTCCCTCGAATCCTGGATCCTAAGCCCTAAACCCTGAAGTTTGGGGTCAGAGTTTTTGGAATTCTGGCCGAAGGTGGGGGAACCGTTTGTGCAGCTTCGGGCTGTATCTGGTTTCTTACAATGCTCCCTGTGCCAAGTCTTAAGTCTTACGGTTTTAGGGTTTTTGCTTTAGGGTTTCAGGGTTTAGGGTTTGAGTTTATTTTTGTTTAAGGCCCTAGAATGTTAATGTCTGCAGACTTCAGGGCTTAACTCGTGGAGCCCGGAGCGGTTTTAGATTTGGGTTTGGGCACATCCCCAAACAAAGACGGTACAGTTTGCGCCACGACGAAAGAATACCGGATGGTTCCGAAGGCCCAGACCCCAATCCTGATCTCCGTAGCCGTAGCCAAAGACCGAAAACCTGCCATTTCCTCCCTTCTGCTCCTTTGCCTTCCGTCAGGCGAAGTGGTCCGAGAACTACAACACTTTGGCGTCTCCGGGCGGAAATTCCCCAGCCCTAAGCCCTAAACCCCAAACCCTGAACATGGATGGAGTGATGGCTTCGTTTACTCATTTGGACGGTGCTGCCTTCAGAGATCGGAGTTCGTGTTTCGTCCTTTCACAGTGGAGCGGTACCAGGAAGAAGGGAATGTGATCCACTAAAGCTGCGTGCAGTGGCTGATACTCCCAGGACTCCGTCGACGCCACATTGGCGGGGGGGGGGGGGGGAGCCAACTTGGCGACTCGGTTTTTGTCCCAATCAGGCCTGTGATCTCAACAATGAGAAATAGCTCTCCCCCAAAGGCCGGTTCAGGAGGATGGCTGTGGATGCATGGGCACCTCGGAGCTTGTGGCTAGAGACGGCGGAGGGATGCCTGAATTGAGCCGTGCCCTGGTTTTGGCGGGCTTGCGCAGTTGGGAGGAATGGCAAGGAGAAGCGCTGGTATGCCCGACGACACTGGGAGAAGTGGCGGCGCAGCAGGTAAGCGCGCTGAGCTCCGAGCTCCCTTGGGTACTACCCGATCCGGTTCGTCCCTCTTTGTGAGAAGCTCCTCCGATGTGTCTCGCCCCAGCAAGGAAATATAGGCCCAGCTCCGACAGGATTTGGTGACTTTCTTCCCTAAACCCTAAACCCTAAACCCCTAAACCCCTAAACCCTAAACCCTAAATTCTGCAAGCTTTGCTACAAAGGGTCACCAATGTCTCAGCTTCCTCGCACCCTTGTCGCCGACCGCGCTCACTGCTTCTAGTACCAGTATACCCGGCTGGTCCATTTATTCTTGTGCTCAAGCAGGCCGTTTGCCCGGCTCTAATCTCCTTGATGCTGCTATGGTACAGTTCTTCTGCAACAGCAAATTCGCCAAGCGTCGGGCACCCTTCATCATCAAAGCTGAACGAAAGGTACTGTACACTCCACCATTCAAGCTCTTCCCAAGCTTGATTCCGGTGTAGGTTTGGGACTTAGGGTTTAGGGTTGAAGGGGGTCGTTCTGTACACATGGGATTTCACTATGTCAAGTCTCGCTGGGTGCACCCGTTTTTGATGTCGCTTTATATCAATGTTTGGTTTTGCTGTATTGCGGGGAGACTAGCGACAAACAGATCTGCTGCACCACTGCAATGTGCTTGTGTCCGAGTGCGTGAACACGTGTCGCGAGAATCCCGGTCCTTACCACAGCCAAACTCCAAAGACTTGAAAGCCAGTTGAGGCCGTTGCCTCTGGTGGATCAGAGCCTCATTTCCCTCCTCTTCTACAGGCAAGCGCCAGATGCAGGTTGAGGGCTGGGGGTTGCACCCCCCCTCTCACTATATAATCGCAACACGTATACCGCATAAATCCGCATAGAGCTTGAACTCTTAAAGGCTCTGGGCTGTAAGGGCTTCCAACACCTCAAACTTTCAACCTTCAACACTGCCCCTCTTTCCCGCCGCCTCAATCTACGGCTTCAGCGACATGTCTCCCCGCCGGGTCGTCTTGATAGTCTTACACTGTATGGGTTTCGCAGTCAGGATGATTTGAAGCAAACGCCTCCGAGCTTTGGGCTCACGACGACTCCAACCCGAAGTTCCTTTGCACCCTAATCCCCTAACCCTATGTTCAAGAACCCTCAACCCTTAGCCCTTCTGTGACCTTAGAGCTCCAACTGCATATGAGTCTTGTCTATTTACTCCCCTCCCCCCCCGTCTAATTGTAAAGACCTTGCGTCGTCCGCCTTGGCCCAGTCGCAGGTGGAGATTCAAAGTGCGCAAAACGAAGCGCGGGCAGTGGGGAGGGGGGCAGTGAACCCTTTTCCGGGGGATGCGTCCCTGGAAGATTGAGAGGCTCTTCCCGGGGGGAAAGAAGGAACCTCTGACCTCTTCGACCGAAGCCGAACCCAATCATTAAGGCCTTTATGAGCCCTAAACCCTAAAGCCGGGACTTGGAGGTTCAAGAAGCAGCTGGGACTTCGAGCACTGTGGGTGCCCCGTTTGTTTCAGAATGCTTGGAATCAGGACAGCACTGTTTTAGTTTGGGTTTCTGGGTTTAAGGGTTCACAGTCAGGGCTTGGGGTTGAGGATTCAGCTTGAGGCAGCGTACTTGGAGGGTCGGGGGATCTGGTAGGATTTTTTGAATCAAGAGCGCTTTCTTAGAGCCCTGCATTTAGAAACGCGTAGTTGCAGAGTTGTCCGATCCTTAAGGAGTGTTCAAGAGTTCCGGAACGTTCCACCCAGCCTTAGACCCCACGCCCTGAAGCACTTCGCCTGCCGATAAATCCCCAAACCGTAACCTTTGGGAGGGTCGTGGTTCGGTATTACGACGGCTGGAGCATCTTGCGGATGGCCGCAGCAGAGAAGGTTACGATGCAAGGTGCATCATGCTGTCCAGTGTTTCCACGGCGTTTTCAGAGGCCACTGGCTCCAAAAGCGGCACGTCGGTGAAGAAGATTTCCAGAGGCTAGTCCTACAGCATCAAGCTCTAGGACAAAGCAAGCATACACGCAACTGCGGCTGGTCGCGACAGATCAGATCTGACAAAAGGACCAGGCTTGCATAGAAGGCTCAGGACAAGGAAACCCTCAGGTGGCATAGGTTCATGGCTGTGGCTCCGAGGCTCCCTTTGAGGGATTCTGGGGAGGAGCAGATCGAAACCCAGCCCTCAGTCGTGAACGGCCTCACATCCTACATGAACGTTCAAACCCTTAGATCCTCCCTGTAATCCGTCCAGCATGCCTTCGTGTAGCCCATAGCCTTATAGTCTTATAGTAGCCCATAGAGAAATTCCAGTACCCCTTGTAGTAGCCCTGCTGGTATGCCTTTTCAGTAGCCTTTATGTCATTCCATATTCTTTCACCCTAAACCCTAAACCCTAAACCCACTTTATCCGACTTCTACCGGGCTGACGGCAGGACGCAGACATCACAAACTTCGGCCGATGGGATGGTCACCCGGTGCATTTAGAGTTTAGGGATTTGTGAGGCTTCCTTTAAAGGTTTCTTTACAGGGCTGCTTTAGGTCGTTGTTCTACTTTGGAGTTGCATGAGGGTTTGGGTTCTAGGATTTCGGTTTCCCTTGTGGCTTGATGTTTGGGGTTTGGACTTCGGTTGAGGGTTTTTGCTTCAAGATCCAAGGTTCGAGGCTTGGGGGTTTGGTTTGTGTAGTCTTCCGTGTTTAGGGTGTGTTTACCGGGGTTGAGTAGCCTTTAAGGGTTCAGGATTTGAAACAGCTGCTTTCTGTTCTGGGGCCGGGGCTTGGTCAGCTAGGGTGTAAATTGCGATGATTCGCTGGCCACTTGTCCCCAATTCCTAAAGCGTAAACCCCAAACCTAAGCCCTAAACCCCCGAAGCCTGAAGCTTCCACCCCAAACCTAAACCCTAAACCCCAAATCCGACTCAATTACTCCGACCCTGGCAAGAGCAACAGCAGGGGCTACGGTCTTCGATTCGGACTAGAGCCCGGCAGTTGGAAATTCTGAGCTAAAACCCCTTAACCCTACCTATAGTCTCCATCGTAGTTCCTTTTTTTTGGTTTAACGGTTTAACCAATTCTATATTAAGGATCCTTAAGAGGGCAGCCCCAAAAAGGAACTACAATGGAGAGTATAGGTAGATCCTGGTCCTAGACCCTAAACTTCACATCCTGAACACTTCACCGACCTGCACCCTTCAAACCCCAAACCCCAAATCCCCCCAAATGGGTAGTTCTCTAAAGTAGGGTCCCTTTTTGGGGTCCCCAATATAGTACGGCACCCATAAAAAAAAGGACCCTAAAAGGGATTCGAAGTTAGAGAACTGCCCAAATCCATAATCCCCCAAAGCCCGAGAGGCGCTTTTCACAAGCACCTCAACTTCGTTCTAGACACGCTGGTCTACGAGGCGTTCGGATCTTCCCTGGGTTGGGTTACTTGCTTGGAAGCTACCATCTGGGTTGCTACAGCTTCGCGGTTTAGGGTTTAGGGTGCTGAAACAAGGCTCGTGTAATATAAGGGTTACCGTACTCATTCTAGTTTGGGATTTGAGGTTGGGAACGTAGGACTTTCGGAAGTTGGTTGTAGACTCAGGGCTTCAGGGGTTGGTTTAGGGCTTTGGGTTTAGGGTTTAGGGGTTTAGGGTTTAGGGTTTAGGTTGGGGTCGAGCATTTTGGAGTTTAGCGCCCTGGATCAGCCAAAGCTTGGGATGCCAAACCATACACAGACCTTTGGGAGGAGGATCCAAAAAGCAGATCCCTTAAGGGGATTCCTATAAAGTACCCTTTCGAAACATGGGGTCCCAAATTTGAGGATCTAGTTTTTTTGGATCCTCACAGGATTCCTCATCCCACATGTCCATCCGAAGCCCCACCGCTCTTGTAATCGGCTTTATGTACGTATGGTACGGTTGTACAGAGTTGTGTAAGGGAGTCCGAAACGTGCTATAGGAGGTCTCATAACGTTTTTTCGGGGCCGAAGTATTAGGCACATTTTTCTCGAGGGTTCCATGTTGCATAGAACCACCAAGCCAAAGCCTAGTCATTCGGGCCTTTGGATAGTTTACATAGAGGCCCGGTGATGAGACCAGGTCTTTGGGGAGTCCTACACTAAAGGTCTGTTCTCTAATCCCTAAACCCTAACCCTTAAATCCTAAACCGTTCGGGAACCCTAAGCACAATGTTACGTTTTGTTCAGGCCCCAACTTGGTGCATGGTTGACCGTTTCGGGCATCGGGCTTTAGGGTTCTAGCTTGCTAGTGTAGGTTGGGGTTTGGGGGGCAAATCCTAAACCCTAGACTAGACCCCAAGCCCTAAATCCAAAATCCTAAATCTTCAGCCCTAGCTTCGACACGCCGAGAGAGTCCGGGCTCAGGACCTCCAACGCAATCCACACCCCGCACAATTCTGGGGATTTTGAGGTTTATCCGGCATTGGGTTTCGGGATGTTTCGGGCTTAGGCACTAGGTTTCTGGCCGCAGCCCGCCTGCAGTATCTGCACGAGAAGAAGTACCTCTTCCTGGTCGATCCAGAGGAGATGCGCATAGGGGTGCCCCTCGAGACTGTTTGAGGGATCGAAGGTTGGGAGGGGGCTTGAGGTGTAGGGAAAAAGGCTTAGGGTTTAGGGTGTGAGGTTTAGGCGCTTGAATTTTTTTGAAGGTTTTATGGAGATTTTCTGTTTCTTCAAGCTGGGGCTGCGCAGCCTGGGGCTTCGAGTAACTCACCAAATCATCGCATTGAGTTCTGAACGCCGCATGTAAGGCTAAGGGGTTCAAAGGTTTGGGGGCTGTAAGGTTTTTCGGGTTGTGCTAGCTTTTCCAGTGTGTGTCTAAGGTTTTTGAGTGCCCTCACAAGCTGTGCTTGGTACGGTTGATGATATAAATCTTGCATTACCCATAGTAAGGAATAGGAATATACCATGATTCCCATATATATCTATACAAACATACATATTATACTATATATATAGATAGAGGTAATGCAGGCTTTATATCATCAACAGTATCATGTTGACAAGTTTGGAGTTTCAGCGTAGTCTTCATAGACATTGAGGCAACGACCGGAAAGGCGTAAGCTCAGTTTGTAGGTCCTCCGAAGCCTAAGTTCAGTGACAAAGGGACGCTCAGATGGACCCTAAGTTGCAGGATCAATACTATACGGTCCCGAGACCAGGACACTGGCGCAACCATGCAAGGGCTCTACATCGTAAACAACACGGCTTCGTGACCAAGGTCACTTAAGCTATGGGAAAAGGAACTTGGTACTGTTCACTTCCAGGTTCAGGGGTAGAGCGTGTTCAGTGGCAGTTTGAAGCTTGGAGTAAAGAAAGCTAGGTGGTTATCCACTGTGTAAGCTCATTCATGTCTGTGGGGTTCTGCGACGGCCCGAGGCCGGTGTTTCCGATAGAATACCAAGCAAAAAGCCTCACCATCAGACTCCCGATCCCCCCAAATATGTACCATCAGCCTTACATCTACCCTAAACCCTAAACCATGCCACCCCAGCTGTTACAAGTCGAACAACCCAGGCGAAGCTCTCTTCGGGCCTTTTGAGAAGACGGCAAAGATCCCCAAGCCCAGCGACCCTTCACCATAAACTCTAAATCTCCCGTAAAGACCGGATCCGGCTTCAATCCTCAAACCATCTCAAACCCGAAACTGTGAAGTGCGACCTCTGCACCTGGGCAACAGTTTAGGGTTTAGGGTTTCGTAAGAACCCGAGACACGAAGCCTTCGGTGACATGGCCAGGTGCATCCTTTCAGAGAAGGCCTGATGCGCATGCGCAGGGTGTAAGGTTCTGGGATGTACGGTTTGAGGTTTTAAGTTGTAGCATCACTCTCACATGGGGCATGATGCTCATGAATGTTTGTCGGCGATGTGATGACATGTTGGCATTTGTGGCAATATTCGTGTTGACATGATCCTTGCCGGCTTCAATTGCTACATGTTGGAAGTTGTCACGCTAGTAGTACCATCCGAGCTCATTATGATCATGGCTTGCGGCGTTTGTTGCAGCAACAGCCACACTTGCGGTGTTTACAATCACAGCAGTACTCAGCAGCAGCAAGCACTATTAGTAGTAGCGGCATCTTGGCGACACAGGACTTCGAAGGATTGGTGTGAATACCGGCATCCTTCAGAATGGTGCTGGTGGAAGTAGTAGTAGTAGTCGTCGTCGTCGTCGTAGTAGTAGTAGTAGTAGAAGCTTCTCGGCTCACAGAGAGCGGGCGATGCCGCCAAAACTTGAGGCTCTCTTGAAACAGTAAGCCCTCTAGTAGGCCTGTGGACACCAACGGAACCTGCGTCTGGTGGCAGGGGCAAGGGGCCACCATGCCATGGACCCTTGTACTGAATCTGGCTTTCTGGGGTACCTACACGGCTGCAATAAGATCCACAGCTGGGGCATACCCGAGTTACCTGCCACCTGCAGCCAGTGCCTCGGGCAAGCGACAAGACTTCGGGAACTACCTGATGTACGACGAGAGTTCATGCATATGGTGCTTCTTTCCATGTTTGACCGGGCGGGAGGATATCGGCAGGATTATATATACTTCAATGAATTTCAGCAGCGATGGCAGCAGAGCGACCCACAGCAAATTATTGATGCTGCCAAAGCCTCGAAGTACCCGCCTAACTTCCGGCCCACGCATACCTGGTGTGCTGAAGCCTACCCTGCATTGGCTCATGTTCTTTGGAAGTCTCCAACGATCCGGCGAATCAGCTGCTGTGCATCTGCCCTGGACACACTTGACTAGCCGTGCACTTAGCCGAGGCCCTCACCTTAGTCCACGAGCTGCTCCCAAAAGACTCTGCCTAGGAAAGCACCTCAGGGCCCGAAAGCTCAGACCTCAGGCCTGGCCCAATCCTAGACACAAACGTTCCAAAAAAAGACCTCCATCCTGGCGTCAACAGGTTGCTTCGCGACTCAAAGCTACATGGGACGGCTGGCTTCCGTTGCTGGCTCCGTGCGCCCATCAGCTTCAAGGGTTTTGCCGTGTTGTGCTATTGCAGGGAGTGGTGCCGTTGATGCAATATGCAGCCACCAGATGTGCATCTACTCAAGCACTGCAGGGTTCCGATGCCTGGATCCCCCCTACACCGTTGCATTGCATCCAGGTGGTGTCTCCCGGCACACATGTGAATGGCCAGGACCAGAACAATGCACCACCTTCCCTGCCTGATAGACCTCTTCGGTTTAGGCCCTTGAGGGTGGACTGCACTTTCTGCCTGCATCTCCTGACTTCTAGGCTAAGCTTCCCTACCCAACCACGCTGTAGACTGCTCCTTCGTTCGCTGTGCTCCGCTACCATGGACCCTCTACACGATGATGTTCTGGAGGAGGCTCTGGCCGATACCGGAGCAGCTGCTACGGACACGGCCGCTGTCCATGCTGCGCCTGATGACACCGCTGCTGCAGATGGTCTAGACAACGAGGATGGGGCTGCCTTGGTAGCTGCAGCTGTCGCCAAGCCTGAAGCACGGGACACTGATGAGGATGCCCACAGCGAAGCTTCGGTCTACTCCACATGGACTGCTGCAATGAATGCAGCAGATCGCAGCCCCAGCCCGGCGATCCGTGCTGAAGCAGGACCTTTCGGGCCACCTCCTGCCGTCCCGATCAGCCATCCACTAGCACGCGATTACATCCCGGGACTGTCCCTTGTGAGACCACACGCTTTGCCTGCTGGCTTTGTGGGTTTTGTCAATAGGCATAGACCAGCTCCGCTGGGTTCCTCCTCGAGTGCGAGGGGGCCGCCAACTGTTCCGCAGATGCCTGGTGAGCCCGACGACCCCCACTGGCAACGTGCCATGGCTGTCAACGTGCTGAACACACTGCAGCACACAGGCCCGGCATTCGTTCATGCCCCTACCTTGGCCACCGTGAGGTCATGGAGCTCATTGAGAATCATCCTGGAGGAGGCCACGGAGATGGACGAGGTCTGCTGCCAGCGAGTCGACCCGCAGGACCTTGGCAATCCCCTGCATATGGGTGGTCACCCCGGAGCTGGAGCAGATGCTGACGCTGGACAAGAGGATGATGAGGAGGAACTACCTGATGCAGATGAAGAAGGGGAAGAAGAGGAGGACCGCTCCCCGGACGAAGACCAGGACAATGCACCAGATGAGCATGGTCCGGATGGCCCGGATGGCCCTGCTCGACCATCCACTGAGGGGACAACGGCTACCCCAGGGAGTGCTGCATCCGGCAGCTTGGAGGACTCAGGAGACCCTCTGCACAGGATTCATTCCGTCACGGCTACCACGGCAGCAGAGAATCCTTTTTCTACTCGGCCTGGCGATTGGGTATATGAAGCCGACGACGTGAGCTTTAATCTAAGCGCGGCTAGTCGTTGCTTGGAAGCGACTCGGCGCACCGTCGAGGCACTACGAGAAGGCAATCGACACAGACGTTGCTCAGGAGGCGAGCCTTCAAAGTCACGGTCGCGCTCACCACGACGAGATACCGACACTGCAGACAGGCGGGGGGTAACCAAAAGTCTTTTGCAGACTGTCATACATACCCTAACCTCACAGTCCTCCTGGACCGACCCATCAGGTGAGACACTAGACCCTCACCCCCTGATGCCTGGCAGCCCGACGAGGGACCAACACAAATCCTGTGCTCTTCCGGTGCGGAAAAACCTGCAGCCTCCTGCTGCCATTGCACAGCATGCGTCCAGAGCTCCTGCATGCTCCATTGCAAAACTGCCTTCGTTGACAACGGACTGCCATCAACTGTGGCAACACAAGCCTTACAGGTACAGATGCGCTGATGCGCCTCTCCTGTGGGAGGCCTGGGTCGTTACCACCGCTTGGCTTCTCCTCTATGCACGACTTGCAAGCCTTGTCTGCATCAGGCTGTTCAGGTCATGCCTTGGGGCTGGCACCTGCAACCCCGGGGTCTACCCCTCAGACTGCAACATGGCAACCCGTCCTCGACCGCATTCGCATACCGCCACCACTTGCCCAGGTCTCCAGGCGAAAAATCAGGTATCGCCACGGCCCATCCCTACGAGCCGCCTGGGTCCCAATTCCCAGGGTCTCACTGCTCTGCACTTGCTCTTCCTGCTCTTTTTTGTGATCATCAAACCGGCTTGTGCAGGCAGTGGGGCAGAAGCGAGGGTCGCGGTCCCAGCTGCGGGGACTGCTGGAGGTGCAAGCACACTTCCTTCCAATCATCTGGCACCGAAGCCAGGCAGCCTCCCAAGCACTATGTGTCCGATCCCCAACCAGGCTCACACCAGGTGCGTCAAACGATCATTCAAGCGTGCCTGTGCTAGAGCCGTGCATCAAGGAACCACTATGTATCGTGGCCGAGTGCTACGAGCGAGTGAGGTGCCATCATCACTACAGTTCAATCGATCATCACAACCCAGACGTTCGCCTGCACAACAGGCTTCGCACCGAGGGCTCCGCATCTTTTGCTGGAATGCAGGGGGCCTTGGAGGTGGGTTGTACCCAGAACTGCTCACCTTCCTAACTGCCTCTCGGTATGATGCTGCCGTTATTCTTGAAAGTAAGTGGCAGGACACCATGGAATTTACGACAGGACCGTGGTCTTGTCTGCACTCTGGATGCAAGACCAGAAAACAGGCTGGGATATTAATCCTGATACACCACAGAGCTGCACCGCCATCTCAGCTCCGCTTTGATCATGTCCTTCTAGGCAGACTCCTGCGTGTCAGAATCCCGCTACCAGGCAAGGATTCCCGGCACATTCATCTCATTGGAGTCTACCAAAAAGCTTATGATCAGAAGGCTACGACCTCTGATCAAAGACATCAAGTCTGGCAGGCCCTGGATCGATGTTTGAGCCGAGTGCCAGCAAGGGACTCACTTGCACTTGCAGGAGATTTCAATACTCCCCTCAAGCCACAATGGAGACATGTAGGACCACACACCTGTGCACTGCCGTGCCATCCGCCCGAAGACATGGAGGCCTTTTCCAGCTTGCTCACCACCCATGACCTGGTTGCACTCAACACATGGCACAGGCCACCAGATCGAAAGCCGCCCTCCACCTTCAAATTTCAGGACCTTGAGTCACAGATTGATTTCATCCTGACACGGCACACTGATGCAAACGATCAGGCCAGACAGGCTCATGCCCTCCGCCGTTTTCACGTGGGGGCCTCTCGCCATGCAGGGGCTGTTCACTTCCCACTCCAGGCACACCTCGCGCTCAGATGCCCACATTGGATTAAGCATCCACCTCGGACACAGACCAGCATCGATAGAGAGGCCCTTCTCCGGGCACTCGACTCTCCTACCGAGCCAGCACACATGGCCAGCATCTCGGAAGTCCGGCAAAGAATTGCACATCATATGGCTTCTACTGAGGGCATAGACGGAATCAGCCGACTGCACCAGGCCCTCTATCATGCATGTGTAGCTGTTTTCCCAGCCGGTCAAAAGACCACGGAACCCAAGCCGTGGCAACTGGAGTCTGTTCAGCGAGGCATCAAGGACATGTGGCTCCAATGGCGAGCCTTCAAGAAAATCAGAAAGAATGGACTTCGAGGCTGGTTTGCTGCGTGGAAGGCCTGGAAAGCCTTTGACAAATTATATCGTGCACACCAGGTCCGATGCCGGGTGACTAGACGAGCCAAGCTGCTCACCGCCATGGCCGAGGCCCAGCAGTGTGCAGACAAACATGACTCCAGAGGATTGTATCAGATAGTCAAGCGAATTGCCCCTAAACAGGCATACAGGCGATTGCAACTCAAAGACTCCCAGGGCAGGATGATGTCTCCCAGCGATGAGGCAGACCTGCTACGGTCACACTTCAGTGAGCGATTCAGTGCCCCATCACAGGTCGAAGGGTCACCCCTTGATCTCCAGGGGCCGTGGTCTCTGCAACACCCACTTCTATTGGATGCCTCAAGCTTGTGTCGAGAGCTGCAACAAATTCCGAGAAGGAAAGCGGTCCCGCTGCTACACCCGCCGGGTGCAGCATGGCGCCTATGTGCTGACATGATTGCTCCCTGGATCAGCCAGGAGCTTAGCCAAGCCTGGGCTGTGAAGCCCATTCATGTGCCAGCCAGTTGGTCAGACGTTGACCTGGCCCTGATACTGAAACCGGACAAAGGTGGACACAAGCCCGGAGACTACAGACCAATTGGTCTCTCGTGCCCTCTCGGGAAGAAGCTTCTTCGATGCATCCTAGAACCCCACCTTGATAGCATTCTAGACCGGATCCGTAGGTATCCCCAATTTGCTTATCAAAGAGGGAGATCACAATACGATGCACTCCGAAAGGTTTTCACCCATTGTGCAGCTGCCCGTGCTGAGCTCAGCAAGCACCACAAGAATCTCCACCACCAATGGGAGGGGCACAAGTCTACCCCTCTCTTCGGCAGTCTGATGGTCACTGTGGACCTCTCGCAGGCTTTTGACAAAATGCCCCGCGAACTGCTGCTACAAGGCATGATTGATCTTCAGCTGCCCGCTGACTTGATTGCCATCATCATGGCGTGGCATGCACACATTCACTACACCGTTCATCATTCAGGTGAAAGTCGCACCTTTGCAGCCACCCAAGGTATCCGTCAAGGATGCTCAGCCTCGCCCATTCTTTGGCTTATCTTCTCTCATGCCATAAGCAGCAGACTGGAGGAGTCACTGGGATACGAACGCCTATGCTCCCTCCTCACAATTTTCACTGATGATTACTTGGCAGCGGGTGTGTTCACAACACTACATGAGCTGGAGCAGTTGTTGAGTTGCGTGGCGGTACTCTTCAAGGTCCTTCGCACCTTCGGCATGGCCGTCAGTGATACCAAATCACAGGCCATCATTGCACTGCGTGGCACACTGGCCCCATCGATTCGCCGAAGGTATACGAGGAAGGGCCCGGACGGACTCATGCTGAGAATCCCAATGCAAGGCGACGACCTCAAAATACCGTTAGCACAGCAATTTCGATACTTGGGTGCTCAAGTCTCTTATGCCTCTTTTGAGGATGCTACTCTGGCTTTTCGCATACAGAAGAGTGATGCCATATATGGCAGACTGGGTACAGCCCTCAGGGGACGTCACCACCTGACCAGTGTCCAAAGGATCCGGCTATGGCTAGCCTGCGTTTGGAGCACCATGTCCTACAGTTTGACCACCTGTGGGTTGACCGATGCGGGACACCGATTGCTGGAAACCAAGGTCATCCGGCAGCTGAGGGCGATCCTACGTCTACCGGTGCACCTGACGCACACTTCCAACTTGGAAGTGTTGGAACAGGCAGGACTTACTCCACCTTGTGTCCTCTTAGCAACCCTCATGGACAAGGAGGGCCGGAGAAAACTGCCTGAGCAGGATGCACATCTTTGCCGGCCGGACCATGCATGGTGGACCAAAGTGAGGGAGAGCCTGAATATCCCAACAGAGTCCATGCACATTGTCCCTGTGCCAACACCGGTAAGACCTCAGACCTGCCCAGAGTGTGGTGTCTCCTACAATACCCGTACTGCTCTTCTTACGCACATCGCTAAGCATCACCACGAGATAGTGGATAAGGCCCCTCCTGAACCCTACCGACAACAGCAAGACTCGTTGGGAGGCCTTCCACAATGCTCCCACTGCAGAAAAAAGTTTCCCACATGGCAATTGCTGAGGAGACATGTGGAGGGTAACTACTGTCCTGCGCGACACTCCTTCCTACCACAACCCCCGCAAGCCGACACTGTTGATGACGCCCAAGATACCAATGTCCCCAACCTTGGCACACCGCCGACGTTTGATGCACCGTCTATACAAGCTCTCGTTGTGCAGTATGCAGCCAACGCCGTCTTTCGACTGCCCGACAGACACCAATATCGTCAACATTGCATTGTATGTGGACAGTGGGTTGCCTCCTTCAAAGTTATGAAGCTGCACTACAAGCATAGTCATCCTAGCTTAGTATCTGAACATCAGGCCAAGGCATCCACTCTCTGTACTTCCTACACTGGCTGTGGCACTCCCTGCCTATACTGTGGGGCTAGTATAGCTATCCCGCGACTGCACAAACATTCCTGTACAGTCCTGTGGCAGTTCTGTCTAAGCTTTGTGGCCCAGCATGGAAAACACTGCGATGGATCAGAAGATCAAGGAAGTGTTCGGGGACCTTGCACAGAACAGCATCCTTCAGTTTGGGGAGAACCTCTTCGGAGGAACTCAGAGCTCCACCCCGGGCAGCGAACCTCCCTCCAAAGCTCCCAAGCTGGAAGCTCAATTGGGGAAGCGAGGACGACCCTCAGACAGTCAAAGCTCGCGTGGACAAAAGGATCAGGACTGGCTCCCGAACAAAGGTCGGGGCAAGGGCAACAAGCACTCGCCTCAGATCCACCAGCTGGTGTACGCCGTGGGCAGGTTGATCATCCGGCAAGAGACTCCACTTCAAATCTTGAAGCAGAACTCAGCCTGGACTCTCTACCTGCAGCCAGGACAGACAGGGCCTGTTGCCCTCCTCTGCCAGGCAGCTGCGAAGTACAAGGAAGAAGCCAAAAAGAGGTTCATGGATGTGCCGGTACGTGCCCTCCTGCTTCACACATTGTTCCAAGCCCTTCTCAAGGCCCTGCAGAGCATCAGCAGCGACAACAACAAGCAACAGATCCTCAAGGACAAAGGCTGGCTCAATACAGAGGGCAACTGGAACTATCAACAGTGGGACAGCGAGCAGCAGGCCTTGAAGGTGAGCGAGACCAAACCACCCATGAATCATCAGGACTTAATCGGTCAAGTCAGCCAACTGGCGGAGCCAGTGCTGGGGAAGGACGTCATCCACAGGTTCAATGCGACCCACACCATGACGCCCACCAAGACAGGGGTTACAACTTTTCTTCTGGAGGTGGGGCTTCGTGCCCCAGGAGTGGAAACTACCTGGAACACCCTGGAGATGCTTGCTGGACTCTCTGCTCTTCAGGTGATCGGCTTGCAGATTCGTCGGGAGGGCCTTCGCAGGGGTGGTCTGGCCAACGACGTTCAGAAGCTTCTTTATACATCTACAGGCTGGTGTTGCACAACCCTTCCAATCAATGTTACATTAATGCACTGGCATTTGCCTATCTGTGGTGTCATCACTGGCTGGAGGCTCCTGAATATCAACTATTCGGGCGCAGCATCCAGGCCTGGAGGGACATCTTGTATGCAGCTCAACAACCATTGGTTATCAGCAGGCTTGCATCATGGAAACACCTAATGCGGGGATGGCGACGGCCGGATGCTCAACATGATGTGGCAGATTTCCTGTCACACATTCTGGCTATTATGCAACCCCCTCAATTGCAGGCCAGATGGGAAGCCAGATTGGTTACAATGCAGGGTACTGAATGTGAGGACAGTGGCACCATTCACACTCCCATTATCCTGCATATTCAAGCCACACATGCCACATTGCAGGATTGCATCAATGCATGGCATCAACAAGCGAGGCCTCATGCTCTGGCGACGGTCACAAGTATACTTTTCGTACAACTGGCCAGGTACCGCTGCACGGGGTCGTTGACTTTCAAGAATCGTCAACCAGTGGTCATCCCAAGCCAGGTTACGTTTCCGGTTTTTGGACGTGGCATTCAAGTCTTTAATGCCACTTATCGTACAGCTGCAGTGATATCCCACCACGGTGCGCACACATGCACGGGTCATTACACAACACTGCTCTTTCCAACTGATGCGAATGGCAGGGAACAGTACTGGAGTACAGATGATGATCGAGAGGCGCAGCTCAGCGAGAGCATGCCTATATATGTACAACATGATGGTTACATTATTGCCCTGATCCGAAGGCGATGACTTATGATATTCGACCTCCTGTTCATCGATCGTTGGGGGCACGGCGCAACTACACGTTGTGCTTTTCTTTAAAAGGGGACGGACGGCCTGCTGGCATTCGTGCCGGGGCCTTTTTTTGGGCCCTCCAAATGGAGGGCGCGCTCTACAAGAGCGCCGGCAAAAGCGCTGCCTTTGGACGGGACGCCAAACGAAGCCTCTTTCGCTGCGAGGGAAGAAGAAGTAGTAGTAGTAGTAGTAGCAGCAGCAGCAGCAGCAGCAGCATTACACAGTTGCTGCTCAATGTAGCATTGGCAGCCGCAGTAGGAAGTAAGAGTAGGATTAGTAGCTCAGTGCCGCCAGTGAGGCACAGAAAGAAATCGCCAGTCTTAGTGATTACGGAGAGAACAGACAAAGGGCAGGCAGCAAGCTAAACCCGAAACTTCAACCCTAAACCCCAAACCCGTACAGTCACCAAGAGAGCAGGGTGCCGGGGAACCCTTGAGAATTCGTGGCAGTCCCTCTATGGCGACGAGGAGACGTCCCAAAAGACAGGCGGCCATGGATGGATTAAACTCTCAACCCTAAACCCAAAAGCACAGGTTTTGTTGGGTTTTTTGGTGTTTCATGGCCCCCGACCATGGCGCTAAATCCCAAACCCCAGCTTCAGGGCCTGCGAGACATGGTGGGTTAAACCAGGGGTTTTTGGGGGATTCTTTGGTGTTTTTATGCGGAGCCGAGAAGTTCCAACCCCTAGACGCACGGCCCCCGACCATCGCGCTAAATCCCAAAACCCAAGCTCCAGGGCCTTCAAGATACAAGGATCTGTGGTTGGTTAGGGTTTAGGGTTTAGGGTTTAGGGTTTAGGGACTCATGCCAGGAGTCGGGATCCAACCCTCCTGCTCAGAAGGTGGAGGGTTTAGGGTCTGGAGGCTTTATTTTGCCTCCTTCTGTTGTGCACGGCAGGAAGCAACTAGATATGTCGAAGCGTGTGGAGACACCAGCTAATCATGTGACCGAGCTCTTCCAGAGTTGAAACTGTTGCTTTGCGTGTTTTTAGGGTGGAGGTTTTGGGGTGTAGGGTTTTTTAAGGTTCGAGGGTTGAATCGTTCATCGATACAAGCAACTAACCAATTCACGCTCGTGTCCTTGATTTCGTCGTACTCTCAGCTTTCATTGACTATGAGATGCAGGGAAGCTACTTTGGTTCTTTTGCTGTGTCTAGCTACAGGTTGGTTAAAACTAGTTAAAGGTAATCAGCATCTTTGTTTGGATTATATACGTACTGTCACAAGCCTTGGCTGAGACAGCTACCATACGTGGGTAGCTCTCAAAGTCAAGTAGAATTGAAAGTTGCAAATTCGTGTGCTCACTCTTTGGTGATCCAACAAAGACCAATTCAGAGAGCCACCATCTGTAGAGTGCTCCAAACCCTAAACCTGAACCCGAGCCCCTCACCCTAAGCCCCAAACCCCAAAAACCCTAAAACCCTATAAACCCTATTAACCCTATAAGCCCTATAAACCCTCAAACCCTACCCTAAGCCCAAAACCCTACACCCTGAACCCGGTATGCGCCTCCCAGTTGCCTTTCCGAGCTGCCCACTCAGTCCGAGATTGCGCGTGTCGTTCTATTCCTGTGAGGACACGAGCCCGCAAACCAAGAGACAGCTGCTTCAAGCCCTAAGTCCTAAACCCCTATCGATTATTCCTGAGTTGTAGACGGGTCGCGTTTGGGAGTTCAGGGTTTAGGGTTTAGGACGGTTTAGGGTTTAGGGTTTAGCCGGCTTTGGATGGATTTGGGAACTCTGAATGATCTGAGGTGGATCCGATCGTTGTGTCAGCTGCTGCCAGGGCAGCCGGAGCTCTCTGTGAGGCTGTCGTCGAAGGGTTTAGGTTTAGGGTTTAGGGTTTAGGTTTAGAGTTTGTTTACCATTCAGGATGTAGGGTTTAGGGTTGAGGGTTCAGGCTTTATGATTAAAAGGCTGCTTCATAGCATCCTTATTGTGCTAAAGTATACCCCGAAGCCCTATTGTAGCCATCATCAGACTCCGACTTCTATAGCCCCTGGGCTCTACAGTCTAGGCTTAGTAGCTAAATAGGTAACCTTTAACCTTTTTGGACTTGTATAATCCTACCATAATTGAAAGGTTAACCTTTTTTGGGCTAGGGTACTCAGCCCCTAAGTAGGGCCTGGGCCGTGCAGGGTTGTGGATTACCGGGCTCAGTGCTGAGGGCTTCGCCTTTTTTCGGGGCTTTGGGTGCTTCGGGTTTGGGCTGTGGAGGGGTTTAGGGTTAGACTTTAGGGTTTAGGCTTTAGGGTTTAGGGTTTATAGGGTTTAGGGTTTAGGGTTTAGGGTGTAGGGTCCAGGGTGAAACCGAAGCCTTCCAAAGCCCGAAACAATCGAAGGCCAAACTTGTGAAGCCATGAACCCCTAAACAGCCACACCCTGAACCCAACAGACCATGAGAACCATACCGAAGATCTTAAAGCCCCTAAACCCTAAAACCCTAAACCCTAAACCTTAAACCCCTTAGACCCTAAACCCTAAACCCTTTTAAAGTCCCTGATCCTGAGCTGGGGGAGTTCTCATCGTCGCTGTTTAGGAGTTCGAGCTTCAGGTCTTAGGGCTTGGGGTTTCGGGTTCCGGTTTTAAGGCTTACCTGTAACCGAAAAGACCCACCTTTTTAGGGTTCTTTATTATGGTTTCTACATAGAGTTCCTTTAAAAAGGTAGGTCTTTCCGGTTACAGGTAGGGTTTAGGGTTCAGGGTCTTCAGGCTTGTGGTTTGTGCCTTGAGGGCTTGTCAGCTCTAAGGGGGTTAAGGGATTTCCGGGATTTAGGGCTCATGTCTCTCCCCTACACCCTAGTAGACTCGCTGCACTTCAGCATGCACCTGAGGGTTATGAGTACATTCGAGATTCTAGGGGTTCCTGAGCTTTAGCTTAGATGGGGATCCTAAGCTTTAGATACCCGGTTCGGAACCGGGCTCGAGTCTTAGATTTGACTGGCTATGTGACAGGCAGAATCCTGATTTGAGCATCGGGGTTTTCTGTTCGATGAGACCCCCTTCTGAACGCAACTCAAGATCTCCCGCCCTTTCAAACAAAGACGCGCAAACCTCCCCAAACCGTGGGACCCTAGACAGAACCCTCAGAGCCTAAACTCACCTAAACACCTTCCAAGCTCCTGAGCCTAAACCCCTAAACCCTCAACCGTAAACCCGAAGCCCTAAACCCTAAACCCTGAAACCTCAGCCATGTCGTTCCGCTCTTGTCTGACTCTCTGCGGTCTTTGCGCAGCCTTTGCCCTCAATGCACCGGTGCCTTGGGTATGCACTTGAGGTTCACGGTAGGGTTTCAGCGCTTACAGGCTCTCTTTAATTAGGACTTCAGAGGGCCGCTTTTTTTTCCCTCAGGTGTTCGGGTTTTGGGGCTTTGGGGTTCGGGCGTCTAGGCTCTAGAGCTTCGGGTATCATGGACAACTGGTGTCTGTGTGTGTGTGTTCTTGGGTTTAGGGTTTAGGTTCTCATGGTCACATCTGAAAGCACACCACAAGCCTCTTTGGTAGTGAGAGCTTTCGACTTTTGATCGGGCCGTGCATGCAGCTTTTTCGTTGCAGACCCTATCCAGAGTTTACGATTCGTCGCATCAGCCAGGTTTCTGAGGTCAGCGTTGCGAGATGTTGCTCGAAGTATCATCGCATTGATGGGCAAGTCGCAAATCGGCTTTCAAGCACGATACTCCCTGTACAGCTCTCTGAAGCGGCACTGGGATTCGAGTCTTATGCCGAGGCCCTGCCTCCAACCACGCTTTTGCCTGCCACGTCTGGATTGGTGCCTCAGTGTGGTAACACTCTGCCATTCTTACGTTCAGAGTATGAAAGGATTCGATCGCGAGGCACGGCCGGCGGCTCTCGTGGTGGCGCAGTGCGTATTTGCGACTACCTACAATACAATCACGGCGCCATCCGCCGGACGCACCAAAATCATTGTAAATGTCAATGCTTTGGCACTCCTGAAGTTGATGAATCGCACTCCTGCAGTGGCATATTTTCGGGTGACTTCCCATGGAAATCGCACTCATTTTGACCTTCGCAGAAGTGCTCAAATCCTGACGGGCAACATTATTTCGCTCCTCGAAGCTCCTTTTCGGTCTCGAAAGAGGATTGAAATGTTTCGCAAGGTGGCAATGGAAGTGCTGTGGCCGCGACTCGTGTTACCTTCCGCCCAGCAAAAACCGTGCTGCTGCCACAGTCCCACGCGCATTTGGGGCTGCGATTCGCCGAGTTCCCGCCGCAGTCCAGAGGTCCGTGTTGTGCACGTGTTTGATTCATGGGTCTCTCTGCTTTCTTTGGGGTCTGGGCTGGCATGGCCGTAGGACTGGCATATGGGAGTTTCCGACAATTAGGGTACCTTATTTTGTGGTCCCTATAATAAGGAGCCTACTATTTAGGGTACTATATTAGGGTCCCCTGTTTTGGGAAACCCCCTAAACCCTAAACCCTATAGACCCTAAACCCTAAACCCTAACACCCTAAACCCCCCTGTAGGGGTAACCCTAAACCCTGTAAACCCCCAAACCGCACAAGTTGGGAAAGATGGGGGCGCTCGGCCTCAAAGGCTGCAACAACTCAAGGCCTTGAGCCGAAGACTCTCTACCCGTGCGTAATACTACTAATAGGATTCCTTGGAGTTTAAGGGTTTAGGGTTTAGGGTTTAGGGTTAAGGGGGTTAAG